TGATGATGGAAAATAAACGACTCTAATTGAATACCATTTACTGAACATTTTATTTGGGCCAGGCTAAATTTAGACACTATTATTTGCTGTACAAAACATTGTAGTTCCTTCAGTTCCACTTAAAAAAAGAAGAGAGAGCAATTAATTGGGATAGTTAGGCCTAAGATATGTAATTCCCACTTCAAATCTTTATTTGTAAAAGAAATACAATAATACTTGCTCTATTGATAGTTAACAGGTTGTTGGGAGAATCAGAATAAAAGTGAGATAATATATTTGAAACTGGTTTGTTCCCTGTACAGAAAAGAAAATGTATGATTATTTAAAGGCTTGTATCTACCTGTCAACAACTGAATGATTTGTACTTAAAAAAAAAAAAACCAAATCAATCAAACTGGTGGTTATTCAGCATCATGTAGACAAAACAATTGTTGATTTGACAATCTTTCACATTTCAACTGGTTGTCAGGGCATCATGTCGACTGACAAAGAAAAGTGATTCCCTCTTCCCTACATTTTCCAGATTCTATAAAACATTACATGAAGAGATCTGAAAATAGAGAACTGTTTTAAAGTCTGTACTCAGAGCTTAGTCAGAGGAAAAACTTTAGATCATGCCTTTGGTACGTTCTGAAAAAGCTGATATTGAATATGCCCCATGCTGTTTGTCTTTGGGAGATGTCCTAATTTAGACTCTGCTTTTGATCTTCTCGACAGATATAGCATAGAGATAGCCATGGGACTGGACAAAAGATGAACAATTGTGGTTTCTTTTAGTTACCAAGAATGATACAATGTTATAATTTAACATGCCTTTAAAACATTATTTATGTCAGCCTTTCCCAAGATCACATTTCATTTTATTGTGTGACCTAGAACCATAATCCAGGGTTCCTAAGGCTAAGTTAAATATCCTCCACCCCACTCCTCACCCTCAAAATGTGCCGTACTGTAAAATAAATGGAAACCATATTGGCTTACGTCTGCCTTCCATTTTATTTGAATCCTACATAAAAAATAGCATGTAAGGTCTGCATAATTCTCAATAACCTCACATGCATTTTATCTAGATAAAGGTGTTTGAAGATGGCACACACCTGCCCACTTCTCAGCATATTGGATGACTCATGGCTTCAGTCCACTTGCTATGACATAGTTTGAGCTATGTTTCCTCTACCACTGTGTCCCCTGACAAGTCCTTAAAAAGACTCCTTATTACATTAAATAAGAAGACTGAAGGTAAGTTCTCCTGTTGGCCTTCTTAATGGTGAGAGGGTTATCATTCCCCATTTCAAAGTCCATTTATCTGTAGCAGTAATTCTGAGTGTAAGGATTACTTCACTGGCAAAAAAAAAAAAAAAAAAATGCTTATTTTCCTTTAACCCAACATCACCCAAGGCAATAAGCACATGAAACATTCTTTATCTTCTTTAACAGAGAGAAGCCTGAGCCTAATTTAAGTATTGTAGTAGTGGCCAGACCCACAGAGCTCAACAAAACACAACAAAACAAAACAAAACATACCTTGATGTAGTCTTATGATGATGGCTAATGGTTCTCTGAATGCTTTTATGTCAAGAGGACTACAAAACAACGTACATTAACCATGTACATTATAACAGTTTCAATCGAGAGCAGAGATACAGTTTCTGTTCTTGGCCAGATTATAAACGTAAGGAAATGAGAGCTCATTAAAGCTCAAATCTGAAGTTGAAAAATGGCTACCATGTTATCTGTTACATAGGCAATTGGCTATTTCTTCTCTTATCAGCACTGATTTAAAGTCAATTTAAAACCACCAGTGTCATAACGTCTCTTTTCATAAGATTATATTTGCACAACACAGTACAGCATACCTCCCTCGACCTTAGCACATGCATGAATTTTAAAGGGGTCTATACATATGATCTCAAAGTCTTTTTATAACAGCATCAGAAGAAGTTATGGGAATTTAAATGGACTGTGTACGGCTACATAGTGAGGAGATAAGGAAACCTGACCTCTGGCTCAAGAGACCTTTCCAGCATATTACACTGGTTCTGACAGGTCTACTCCTGAACAACTCATGTTTTTGTTGTTGTTTTTAAGTTTTGTTGTGTTTTTCACCAGACACTGCCTTGCATCTCCCATATAATTCTGCATAACTCTTGACTTTATTTTCCTTATTACATCCTATCCATCAAGCATTCTTTAAAGATGCCCATAGCTCTATACAGCCTACCATTTCATATCAGTCAAATTGTTGGCTACCTTTGAAAGGATTCTTTTCAGAGTCCTCATTGTAAAAGTAGTAAATGTATATTGACTTACGTCAGATACTCCATGCCTACATTTAATGGATTCAGAAAATTCACATTCAAAGTATCCTAATTTTCAATATTGTGCATAGGATGAAACAGAGGCTTTTAGAACAGTCTTGGTAAACCTAGAAACTCTAGAGATGACATTGGTCAGAATATAGAATGAAAAGAAGAACTTTATTTTCCTTCTTGGTATGTATGCATAGGAGAGTAGATGTTCATTCTCTTTGTGAAATTCCAGTTTCATGGGGAACACAAACATAAAATATGTGATTATTGTGTGAGTTTTAAAAAAGAGGAGCTGCACAGAGAGCACTATACATTGTTTTTGTCCCATATATTCTGAAAGAGTTTATATTTCCTCTTTCTAAGGGCAGTGATAAACATATTTCATGCAGATGTCTGCTCCCTGTTCTGGGCTGGAAAGGCTCAATAACCCATCGCCACTGTGAATTTGCCTCTCATTGATGTTAATCTGAACCTTATTGTTTGAAACCACAGATTTTCTAACTTTCACTGGAGAGTGTGATGGTTTAAGGGAAAGATAAGCATTTACTAGACCTGGTTGAATTCCCAGCTTTCTCCTTTACAAATTGTGTGGCCGTGGACAAGTCACTTAACCTATCAAAGACTCAGTTTCTTCATATGTAAATTGATGCTAAGATTGATAATCATTTTTCTATGAGGATGATGTGAAATACTGTACATGAAAATGTTTTTCTCTACAAACTACAAATATTACTTGTTTTATAGTCAGTTTTAGAATGTTTCAAAGATAGTGACAGAACTCACATAAAATTCTCAGTGTTTTTTTTCTAATCTCTCCATGTTCTTCATCCATTATAAACTTATATTCCAGGCCTGTCACTGCAGAAGGAGCTTGGGAAACATAAACTACAGTCTTAGGCAGAGACTGTATAGCATAAAGAATGACATCAGAGGAAATGAGACCATGAACTGAAAACTCTGATGTTTAGTATTAAACAAAATATGGAGAATTCATGCTGTTATAGATTCATTAGTGAGGGGAAAAAAAAAAGAAAGAAATGAGAGAATGCACAAAACTATCCTTTTGAAGCCCTGGATGGATCAAAGGGAAAGACAACTACAGAGGCAGGATTCTGAGAAACTGAAAGAAAAAAGCCATTTGGGCAACTTTAGAAAAGGCCACAGATCTTGTGCTAGATTCTTCTCCTCCCTAAGTACTTCTTGTTTTGAGTGGTATTTGACCAAATGAACTGACAAATCAAATGTTTGGTGTGATGTGGCTGTGATGGAGACAAATGTCCATTGGAACACATAGGACCTAAAATGAAAGTAAGGGGCTACAGAATTAATGCAATATATCACCACTCTCCCATATGTCAGCTTTAAAGATTTGGTTTCTTAGAAACTTAGAGAGGTGAGAGGCTGGCGAATTAATCCAATGCATCATCACACGGTCCCTCGGTATCTATCTGTAAATTCTAGCCTCTAAAGGTACAGGGGATAGGCTTAGTAATGTTCAGGTATTTATGAGTTGTACAAGTTTCCCTTTAGCTCAGTCATTGGGAAGTTATTCACAAAAGATAAGAAAACGGCCTAAATCAACAGCAGTGTTAAACTGGAATCGTCTTTCTTCTTAAACTAAAAATAGGAAGTGCTCCATTCCCATATTATAAAAGCAAATTCCAACCCAATTATTTTCTCCTATTCAATTCAGTTGCCATATCAATATTGTGTTCTTGGGTTGACAATGAGAGGTTTATCCTTTTTTTTTTTTTTTTTTTTTTTTGATGGCTCTGCCTGTCAAAGGAGAGCCCCATGGGATTAGAAAGTATAAGTTGTATGTTTGTGTCTACTTTCCTTCTGATGAAGGAGCCATGTATGGATCTGCCTTCAATTTAGAACACAGTTTCTCACTAAGTAGATTGTCCTTAATCAGTCAGCCAGCAGACCATAATAGCTAATTTTATATAAGGGTTAAATCTTCTTTTGATTCACCATTATTCGCATTTCACAATTCAAATAAGAGAGGAAAACATATCCAACTTTTCTTGGGCTGAAGGCACTGACAGGATATGAGATGTTACATAGTCATGAGACAGTTGGTCTGAATATTAAGTGAAAATCATAAAGCCTACATTTTGGCTTGAATAATAGATCATTAATGCTTTTAAAAGACAGGCTGTTTATGATGGAGTTGAGCACGACTCCTAAAAATATGTTTATGGTATATAATTGCCCAAAGAGTAAGAAACTAAAGCTTCCCTTCTTCATACACATAAGAACCATAGTTTGTTTTAATTTATACCTAAAATTTAAAAAACTAAGCCATGCCTGATGTTGGAAGAGGCAGCTATTTCTACTAATGCAGAAATAACACCTTGGTTTGACAGTTTCACAAATATGCATTTGGAAGCAGAGGTTATTAGCTATTACTCTTAGTATTAGAATGACAGCGTAAATCCTCAGACCAATGTTCGCTGACATATATACACTCACACACACACACACACACACACACACACACACACACACATACACACATCCCAAACTCCCGAGCTGCCTGGTTATTAGGTGACTGTGCTATGCTCTTCAGTGTCAAGGGGCAGTGGCGGCTGTCACAAAGAACAGCAGGTGGCCATGCAGTGGCTATATCTCCACGGTAACTTTCACAGCTGTTTGAGTTAGCAGTGGAGCTGCAGCACAGAAAGAAACACCCAGCTTGCTCTCATTTATGTAACAGTTTTGAAGGGTATATTGAGGTGAATTATTTCTCTTGTCAAAATGGTCTAATGGCTTCTGAAGTTCCTTTCCAAAAGGTAGGAGCTCAGTGGCCTGAGGGATTGGGTGGAAACCACATTGGTTTTGGTGGTAAGAGATCCTTGCCAAGAAAGAGAGGAGAGTGGAGAAGAAATCATGTTGATCCCTCATCTAGGCCTTACAGTGCCTTAACTGTTATCACACAGCTGGCGATCCAGGGGGAGGGAAACAAAACTATGTGATTTTTCCTTGAGTTAAATCAGGTAGATGGTATTTTAGCAAGAGCCATTTGGGAATGGATGAGATTATATAAATCCAGGAGAATTTTTGTTTGTTTTACTTTGCTTTTGGACAGCTGTCCAATCCCTACTTTAAATATTTAAGAACTTTGTCTTATGCCTCAGAATATGAGCCTAGATCAGCATGCATTAGAAATAAGGACAATTTTCCTTGCCTGTTAATCAATGAATTGTATTGAGAAATAGAGATTCTATATTATCTTTAATACATACTTAGGTTGGCTAGAATATATTGGGAAATAAATTAATATATAGGCTCATAGTACTTATAAAGTAATCTTATTTAGTTTCAATATAAGAGCTCAATAAATAAGAGGTTTTGTTAATTTCACTTTTTTGATAAAAACCAATATATTTTCCTTAATTTTTAGATTGCTTTAAACCTTCTCTTTTTTTTGTATATGTGGGTCTTTTTTAGAGTAATGGACCACTGGTGTTTCCTAATCAGAAGCAAATGTTTTCAATGTGGTCTTTGAGTACTGTGTCTCCTCCTTTGATTTTTTTTCTTGAGAATAGAAAAGACTTTTTTTTCCTCTTGCAAAATATTTAGAGACCTAAAAGTATCTCTGAATTGTGCATGAAAATGCAGGGTGGCCCATAGGTAGTAGAAAGGAAATTATCTTAGATTTGTGAGTTTGTTTCTGTTTTTGCCAATTTTGAAAATTGCTTAATATATCTGTAAAGAGAGCTAACATCCCTTCCTGCTGCAATATTTTAACCACCTTTGTTGTGAGTGTAACAGATCAGAAACTAAGAGATTGAACCAAATCTGAAGGTTTTTATCAGAGTCCTACTAGGTCCCAGTCCTTTATAGGTCAGTCAACGTTACAACAGAAAAGGAAAATTCTGTTTTATACCCAAGGGCACAATTAAACGCTTACATTTAATTAAGTGTTGGGTTGAGTGATTCAGACAGTAGACACTGTAGGAGCTCAGAGAACGGAAAGACCGGAAACATCTAAGATCAGAATCATTTACTTGAAATCAGTAACCATAGAGCTTACTTACAACTTTCTAAAAGCCCAAATAATGCAGTCAAATGTGTGACAAGATGCAAAAGCCGACCCAAGTACTCAGTGTTCACATGGAAATAGTAGACTAAATAGTGGTTGTTCTGATCCAGCTGTGATATTGAAAATGTCACTTTTACTTGTTCTGTATTATTGCCTCTGAATTCTTTTATATGTAAAACCCAAAAGTCACCTGACACATCATCAGGCAATTACTACTTCTCATTGTGCATGTCAATGGCTGATAAAGTACACATCATTACAGTTCAGGAATGTGCTATTATTTTCCTCTTACACCCAGGCACCTCCTTGGTGATAGGCCTGGTTTGGAAGGGGTAGGGAAATACAGTTCGTAGGAGTAATCACGCAGTGGCCTGCTGTGAAGAAGAGTGAGCTTTATTTACAGCACAGCACTCTGATTTGGCTTTAAAAGAATTACATCAACTAAAAATTATACATGATAGACTTGGCAGAAACATAAGCTGGTGGTCAGGCCTGATTATATCAAATGGAAACACTTGGAAAGTAATGTTGCCAAGGTATCGCTCACTCAGATTTATAACAGGTGTCCACGGGAGACTAATCCTCACAGATTCTCAACTGCTTTTTAAATGCTAAGATTTTGAGCTAGAGATATGCTGTGGCTCCATGACAAAAAGTGTTATGCTAATCAAGATCCACCCAAGCCTTCTGATCTAAGATAAGGCGAAGCCTAAAAGAAAAACACGTAGTGAATGGATCCTCTCATTGCAATGTCTTCATGATTAAGAAGGAATAATTAGGTTGTATATGTAAAGATCAAACTAGACAAATATGTCAAGTAATATCTTGAGCAAAAAAAACAGACAGGAAAATAGCTCACTAATAATAAATAAGTAGCACATAGCATAATTGGTATTGGTTAGGATAAATTTGCAATTTTTCCCCAAAAGAATATGTTTAAGGATTAATGTAATTGCTTTTAAAGAACTGTTGTGTGTGAATAAAGCACATGAGTCTTAGTTTTAACAGATAAATTCTAAAAAAAAAATCACTTGTTTACTTGTGTGTTCTTTTTCCTAGATTGCAAGTTTTTCAAAGCCAAGGAGTGTCACGTATTCCTATGTATACTACCAGCACGTAGCACAAATCTTGGCCCATCTCTATGCTCAGGAAATGTTGGGAAATGCTACTAAGAATTATTTTCAATTATGGGTTTTCTCAACAAGAACATTAAGAAAAGCAAACAAAATGGGTGAAGGTCAGAAGTTTTAAAAGCATTTAGTTGTCTGAGCAAAATGAGACTTGATATTCCCTGTTGGTACAGCCTCATTTTTTAATTAAACTAGGCATGTAAAATAAAGTAGCAATGTCACTGAGTTAATGTAGAAATTCTTCTGTTTCTTTTATACTCTAGTAACTAGGTTTTTAAGATCCATTTAGGTATGATGTAGCCTTCATTTTGGATTTATCATTTGAACAACTTCTGCCACCTTGACATACATGTCGAGACTATAGGAAATCACTTTGCTATGTGTCAAAAATTTCCAAATTTGAGAGATCAATGATAGTGGAAAAAAACTGCAACCATTGAGGAGAACTCTTTTGTAAGAAACAAAATGTAGCCAAATATAGGAAGTTGATGTTATTGTACATGAGAAGGTCTGTCTGACATAATTATTCATATGGATCAAGAGTGTATTAAACTTTTGCTGAATTTTCCATATGAAGGTCTCTACAATATTTTAGTACTGTCTGAAAGATGTTCTAACCTTAATGTTAGAACATAATTATTAGGACTTAATTCAACTCAATGGCTAAAGTACACATGCATCTCTAAATTGGTACTGTTAATTTTCATTTTCAGAATCCAGTCCACAGTATATAGAAACTTCCCGGAGAAAATAATGGAACATCTAACAGGTAAAATATATGTTTATGGGAATTTGGATATCTGTTTTCTATGTAAAGATTCTGCTATTTAATACAAGTATCAAAAAATTTTTTAAAAAATTACTTGGATGCTCATGAAGGCAATGTTGCCTATAATTTGGTTATATTATAAAGATTTTATAGATGACGAATACAGATGAAGAGAATCTATTGCTTACATTTACAAAAGTAGTAAATGAGACAGGATTTGAACTCTGACATCTGGCATAGGGCCAGAATACATTTTACTTGTTAAAAACAAACAAACAAACAAACATTTTTTTTTGTTTGGAAAAAAAATGAAGCAACCTCTGAAGTTGAGTTTGATGACTGGCATCCCAACCCCAGTCTACCCCTCTTTGATTCTCAGGGATAATGACTTCTGTTTGGTACATATTCTTCCAGACCTTTTGCTATGCCTTTGCATAAATCCATATGTACTCCTAGAGAATATATAGTATCCTGTATTTTATGGCTTTAATATGTAAATGATGTAATGTCGTTTTGTCATTTTGAAATAATTTTGAATTTAACCTCATATCTTAGGACCACTTCCAGGTTAACATATTTAGTTCTACCTCTTCCTTCTAAAATGCTACGCAGTGTAACATAGCAGCATGACCAGCTCTTCCTTTCTTTTAACCACATTTTTCTTAAGAACAGTAAGACTATTTCCATGGGGGAGAGGAAAGATGCATATGTGAGGCAATGACTTGACTTCTATATTATCTCCACAATATTAGAGTATCACCACAGAATTTTGAATCAAAGCTCTATTTGAGACTGGAAAACTGGTCTTGAGGATTGTGGAAAACTCTGGGTAAGTTATTAGAACTCGGCTTCTTGTTTTGCAGTAATATATTCATGACTCTGAGTGTAATTGTTCTTATCTGTAATTGGACATCACTCTCCCATATGTCTATATCCATAGTTTTACTCTCAAAAGTGTGAAGTATTTTACAAATATTAGGTGATAATCTTATATCAATTTAATTCATCATCCACTTATTGAATATTTGCCATGAAATATATTCTGATGTAGGTATCATAGAAAGCAAAGTAAATATGTTATCTAAGAGCATGTGAATCATAAAAGTAAAAGACACAAATATAAACACTCTGAAAAAGGAGTGTATGATCTGAATTATAGGAAAGATTCAAGGTTGCTTGGATTATAGGGGAAGAAGAGACTACTCCAGTAAACAAGGCTGTGAGGGGTGCATGGGTGGTTCAGTCGACTGAGCATTGGACTTTGGCTCAGGTCATGATCTCATGGGTCACGGGTTTGAGCCCTGCATAGGGCTGTGTGCTGGCAGCTCAGAGCCTAGAGCCTGTTTTGGATTCTGTGTCTCCCTCTCCCTCTGCCCTTTCCCCACTCATACTCTGTCTCTCTCTCTCTCTCTCAAAAATAAATAAACATTAAAAATTTTTTAAAAAGAAGAGGCTGTGAAATACTTCTTGAGAGAGATGAAATTTATGGTAGAAAATTGAGAGACACATTAGTTAGAGTGTAAGAGGAAGAGAGGAACGGATTGTTCCAAATTCCCTCTTCTATAAATTGGACTTGGATGATTTGTTCAGGCTAGCGTTCTGGAGCTAGTGAGTCTTTTCTTACTGGCATGAGGCTCTTTGAAGAGCATTATCAAGGAACCTAAAAGCTCTTGCTTAGTCATAATTGTGTTGGAAAATCAAACATGTAGTCGTAATAAAGTGTCAATCTAAGGGATCTTCGGATAAGCAAAAGCCAGGTCTGATGCAGTGCTCCACCAAATGTGAGGCATGCTGAAAGGCACAACACAAGAGTTCTGGAAGATGGATATGAATCAGTGCCTGCAGAGAACTTATAAGGCACCAGAATACAGAATAAGGTGTTTTGTTGTTGTTTTGTTTTGTTTTGTTTTTATATAATCTCTATTCCCAACATTAGGCTCAAACTCACTGAGAGCAAGAGTCACATGTTCTACTGACTGAGCCAGCCAGGCACCCCGTCAGGTGTCTTTTTATAGGATGTTTCAGGTTTCACCATAAATAGAGGGAGAGGTTTTAAGGGCAATGAAAATAACTCAAGCAAGTTTGTGAACTAGGAAAATCCAGGGCTTGTCATCAGGTAGGTAGTATGATTTAGGATGTTTTTGGGGGATGAATAAGAGAGGAAGACAGAAGGTGGTACAGAGGGTGAAGACACAGAAATGTGGATTAGAACACATTGTGACGCTGAACCAATGTGAGGTTCTATTTTAATGACATATGGTGAAACATTAAAGCTTTTCTTCCACAGAGTGACACACATCAACTGTGTTCTTAAAAGGGATCTCTTGCAGGGCTGTGGGTAAAAGAAGAAAGGTTGGAAGGGGTGAGAATAATTGTGGGACTATTACAATAGACCAGGAAGCGTTATTATGGTCTTAGACTAGTGAAAGAGAAAAAGAGAACTGGATACGTCTGAGAGACACTATAGAAATGGATTTCTTGGAATGATTTTTCAGCTGATTTGATAGGGATATAAGGAAAAGAAAAGAGTCAAAGATGATAATAATTGCTATAGTACAACTGTTATTTAATTACCTGTGTGCAAGACATGCTAATATAGATATGTCTATACTTATAGATATTAACTTATATATATACTTATATATATTTATAACGTATTTCTCACAAAAAACCCACTAATATATCCATTTTACTCAAAAGGAAACTGAGACTCAAGAAATCCTATAACTTCCTGAAGGTCATGATTAAAATCCTTGGCCCATGTTCTTTACCATAGTGATTCATTTAAGACCTTTTGATGACATGTGTTAATGTTAGATGTTCATTCAGGAAGACGATAGATGTTTGTGCAATATTTTTATACTTAATTATTTAAGTTTAGAAATTTCTTTCAAGACTTTGGTAAAGCTTATTCACATAGATGCATGTAATCTATGAATGAAGCCTGTATATCTATGCATATTCTTAAGTCTCAAAATGTTTTCCAAGTATTACTGCCATTGAGTTTCAGGAATATGATAAAATATAAGTTTTAGAATCAGTAAAGTACTAAAAAGTGGCTGACAGTCTTTCTGGTTTATTTATTTTCTTGATGCATGAAACACTTTGTGTCAGCTTTTTTAAAGAAAGGAAAAAAATAACAATAATGTAATTTCCTAAATTCCCTTCAGTCTCTGAAAATGAAAGCCCAGTTCCAGATAATGAAGTTGAGCGTGGTGAGATTTAAATTCTATCCAAATATGTTACATTAACTCACAGTTATTTATTCTAATAAAGGAGAGGGATCCCTGGATAATTGAAATCCATAGATAATTGAAAAACTACATTTAGCAATATTTCTCAACCTCAACCCATACCAAAATTCTTATTGGCATTGCAATCAAGTAACAAAAACCTCTCATTTAAATTTCATTTCCATTCTCTTTTCTTCTCACTTAAATGGGAAAGGAAATGCCTAAATTAATAAAGAGCAGAAGGCAAATGTACCTGGTTCCTATCTAGGAGCAGGTCAGAAATTGGATGCCAGAAACACTTATAGGTTAAAAAAAAAAAAAAAAAAATGACTAAACCAAGAGTCTTTAAATATAGTTATTGGTGTAATTTTGAACACTTTGTGAATAAGAGAATGGACCTCTAACTGGCTTTATATTATCATTAGATGATGAGCACAGTGGTGCTTCAAATGGGAAAAATGGATTGCATACTGACCTTGTATTGTTTTTTATTAGGCAGAATGTTCCTGTGAACAGAATAGCAGGTGCATTATTACACCTGTCACTAATTATTCAGGAAGTTTCTTAACATACCAACATATCAGTGTGAGCATAAAAGAGTAATGAAGCCTGTGACAAACTGGCAAATGGATATTGTGTTTTGTTCACCTAATTAAGAGTTTCAAGGTTTGCTACAACACTGAATTTGCTTGGCATTGTGTCTTAGTAACTTCAAGATTTCATTGGTCATAGAATAAATATTTAAGAGCCTACTATGTTCACAGGAGTGGAATGGTGGATGAATGAGGAAGCCCTTGCGCAGCCTCTCCCAACCCGATATGTATTTTTTCCTACATTATGGATTATTGGAGGGTGTTCCAGGTCAATGACAGCTTTCTGAGAAGATGATCTATAAGATCAATTAAGAAATAATTTGTTTAAAATCAGCTAGCTTAGAGATCAATGTGATTATTCAAAATTCCTTATATACTTTCTGCTCGTGTGTTTGCTATATACTTTCTTTAAATGAAACCATAAAATTTAGGTATCTTTACAATAGAAAATCAGATAGTAGTGAGCTCCTTTGACTGAAACATGGTCGGTAGAGAGGGGGTACCTGGATCATTTTATTTTCAGCTTTTCATCCTTCTTTCCCTACAGTTTTCCTTAGATGATGTGTGGGTTGGGAGAAAAATGGTGTTAAAGTAACCATCTTCTTGATCATCAGAACTAAACTCAGATAAGATTTGTCTCTAATTTACTATTATTTGCCTTTTGTGTTTTTGTTACTCATCTCTCTCTCCTAGTGCACGGTGAGCTTATACAGACCCATGGATGTTCATGCACTCCAGTCTGTTGACACTACCATTTGGGCAAGAGTTGATATCTGTGTCGTAAGTGGGACTCTTACGAATTAATCGATTGATTCATTCATCTTACCAACATTATTGAACATGCTATGTTTTAGGCACTGTGCAAAACATAGGGATTAGAAAGACAAATAAGGCAATTATTTTAAGAATTCTATTCTATCCTTCTAATTAAGAAGTATAATTTTAATACCACACATTCTCTCATTTAAGCGTACAATTAAATGATTTTTACTAATTTACAGAGTTCTGCAATCAGCACTAAAATTCAATTTAGAACATTTTTATTATTCCAAAAAGATTTCTTGTGCCTATCTGCAGTCAACGTCTATTCCTTCCCCCAACCATTCATTTCTCTATATATTTACTCCTCTGGATGTTTCACATAAATGGAATCATATAATATCGTATAATATGC